AAAGCCACGTGAGCCGCATTCATGTCTCTCCGCACTGGTCTTGGCTCAGAACAGATGTGTGCAGATGATTACAGCAGGGATCTCCAGCAGATTAAAGCAAAGGTCTGGCTCTTTGGCAACTCTGTGCAAGATTTAAAAATGACAATCACATGCTCATCTGTTACATAATCGCCACCAATGTAGGCAAATTCCACTTCCACTGAGGGGTTGGTAGCTGCAGAGAGATACAATAGCAATCGGTCTGTAGCTTCTGTCAGATGATTACAGGTTGATTTTTGTGGACACTCGTATAGCTCCCAGAGGATAAATCCTAATTACTTTAAGGATCTTCTTACTTTTCCCTTTCACTTGTTGTTATTCAGTGCAAAAAGTTACACGTATTTATTGAATTCAGATTAATATACTTAACAGATTTCAAGTAGTTTCTCATCATTTGCTAGGTTATCATACATGCAACACTTTTTCCTGCACAAATGTGCAGCACAGGCTCTGTTCAAGCTCTGTTTTTCTCTACTGAAGTTCTGGAGACACAGCGATCAATCTTCTTAGTTCAATGTTTTTTGCAGATGACAGAGTGCAATCTCGTGAATCTAAGTCTTAAATAATCTTCTATGTATGGTCTCATGTTTGTCTAGCACCGTTATAAACTTATAAAAACCAAATCACTTCACACCAAGAGTGACTCTAATATGATGTAACTGTTTCTTTCCTCTTCACAAAAGCCATTTTCACTGTCCTTGCTGGATTTCTTCTTTTTTTCATTCATTGATTTTCTATACCTTTCTCAGTGCTATAGCCTTCCCCAGAATGCACATAAAATGATCTCCTCCATGGATGACAAATGGAGTAATCACTTTGTTAAGTGCCTCACAATTAAAGCTCACTATTCATGTGAACTGATTAAAAATACTTAAAAACTTTCTTAGCAGTGCATTTTATGGGATCTAATAAGAAAAATGCACTACAAAGTAAATAAAAGTTATTGCGAGTAGATAAGAAACTATAAAAAGCAGATGACTAACTCGACCTCTTTCCTATGTGGAGAAATTTCAGACTAAACTAGAAATGTAATGAAAGGATACACGTAGCAGAAATGAGTTCATTTGTTATTGTTTGGATTAGCTGCAAAACAGCTTAAATTATTTAATGACTCTTGACTTTTATATTATCTTAGTCCTCAAGTTTGCGATAATTAATGAAGCTTACAGAAGCTCAGTTTCCTGAGGGCCTGGGACATTGCGTAGCTGCGCCGTAGATGACATGCTTAGGATGATTCGCATTATGATCCATCGTGAAACTTTATATTATGATCACACAAAGCCTCTAATGTTAAAATTTAGCTCTGCATTTCTGATTGTTTAATACTTGAGTCAGTGCAGCCTGGTAATGAGGTTTACTGTTGATCAGCTATAACATTAAGCACCGATTGATACTATTAAGGTAGTTAAAAATTGCTTATAATCAGCTTACAAAAGAAGATTTTGCTGGGGAGCCTGGCAATTAACTGAATATTGCTTTGACATGTACCACCCATGTAAATATTACTGTGGACAAAGCACATCCCCCCATGTCGGCAGCACTTCCCCACAGTCATGGTCTTTCAGAATGGGACAGTGTGCCCCACACCACACCACAAAAATGGCTCATGTCTGAGAAACAAACCAAAAAGCTCAAGTCCAAATCCACAAAACTCAATCCCCTCGAGCACAGTAACAAGCCTCAAACACGGAGCCTCTGCTTCTAGCATCGACTTTACAGGAGGCTAAGTAGCAGCCAGATGTTGCTCATTGAAAACAAATGGATTCATCGAGCATCACCAAACGTGAGCACCTCAATAAAAGCTGACGTTTTGGCAGTTTACTGGCAAGTTACCAATCTTCCTACGAGTGGACATCCTAGCAAATTTGCCCCAAAGAAAAACTCAAGAGCTACATCTCAGACTCTACAGGCCTCAGTTAGCATGTTAAATGTTAAAGTTCATGACAGTAAAATTAGAAAGTGACTGAAAAATAATGATTTAAAAGTGTTTACAGGAGAAAGTCTCTTCTCACTAAAAACAACAATGGCAGCATGGCAGAATTGCATCTGAACAAACTACAAGACGTCTGGACAGATGAGACCAAAGTGAAGATGTTTGGCCATAATGTACCAAACACAGCATATCAGCACAAACACGCCAACTGTGGAACATGGTGGTGGACACGTGATAATTTAGGCTTGTTTTGCAGCCAAAGAACCCGGGAAGTCTGCAGTCATTAAGTTGACCATGAACCCCTCTGTATAACAAAGTATTCCAGTCAAATAGTCTGTCTTGGCCTAGACTGAGTTGCAGCAGCAAATCTATAATAGAATGGCTGAAAAAGAAGTAAAATCAAGGAGTTGCAATGGAGCAGTGCAAACCTCAGCCCGAGTGAATAAATCAATAAGATGCTTATTTGCAATAAGTAAAAAAGATGAGAGTGAAGCATCTGTTTATGTTTTTATTCTTTAATGTTGGGATTGCATAGACCCACTGCAGTATGTGCAAAAAAGAATAACAAGAAAAGAGATTTTTTCATTATCGTGCTTTTGAAAATGACAGTGTTGGTAATTTTTCACTTGAACACAAACTGCAGCAGACGAAAGTGACATAATTACACTCTGCTCTCCCAGAAAATGACTCGAGAGGTAATTTGTGCAAGCAGATATTACAATCCAGTAAGCACCCTTTAGATGCAAGTTCACACTTTCACATACTTAAGGTTGCAAAAATGAGAATCTAATCTACAAAGGAAAGCAAAGCAAAGTTAATTCCCCAAATTAACTACAGTAAGTAGATTTGCTGCCTAAACCTGGCTAAACTGTATTTTTCTCTTAGCAAATGCACACTATATTATCCCCATGTTAGACCTTGTAGCCAGGTTTTTGTTTTCATTGGAAGGCAAACCATTAAAATGAAATTCATTTAATTATATCCATATTTGACTGTTTATCCACTACCTATTATCCAGTTAATGTTTTTCTAATCTAGCTTGCTGTGCATTAGTCTCAAGCAGTTTTATAGTTCAAACACCTATTATTAACCCATGAGTAGTGTTGGGAAGGTTACTTTTAAAATGTATTCCATTACAGATTACAAAATACATGCCCCAAAATGTATTCTGTAACGTATTCCATTACGTTACTCGAGGAGAGTAACGTATTCTGAATACTTTGGATTACTTAATATATTATCATGCTGTTTACAACTACATGAATGTACTATTGCTGTGATTTATTACTGTTA